CTAACACTGTTTCCAAAGCGGACACCATTGAGCCCACAGTCCAGAAGAAGAGCGTTAAGAATAAAATCCAATGGAATGGACAGAAGATAATTGAATTTATGAGTAAAGGATCGCTCGACGGTGTCTTCGATGGGAACCGATTATTGCAGGGATTGATGGCCGACACGAATGGCAACGCTTCGCAACCGACTCTCATCACAGCTAATGATTTGCCCGCAACTGATAGTAAACTGAACCCAAAGGCGTCCGAAATTGATAAGAAAAACGCGACGATTGTTATGAATGACGGAAACAAACCGACGATCGAAGAGATTAAAGCGAAAGCCTTTTACTGTCGAGATATTGAAAGCAAAGTATTGAATAAAAGTGTTGAAAACGAGACATTTCTAGTCGTGGATAAGAATCCGAACGTTAATAATGTTAAGGGTTTTGTTGACCGCAATTGCGAAGAGACGGATAAGTTTCAGCGTTTAGTCGATAAGTTTAACAGCAATATAGCGTCGATTTGGGCCAAGACTGGAGGCAACGCTCTATCGTTTAATAATAGCCACAAAAATGACAACATCTNTGTTAAGGGTTTTGTTGACCGCAATTGCGAAGAGACGGATAAGTTTCAGCGTTTAGTCGATAAGTTTAACAGCAATATAGCGTCGATTTGGGCCAAGACTGGAGGCAACGCTCTATCGTTTAATAATAGCCACAAAAATGACAACATCTGGAGCTTTGACTCGTCCTTTTCGTCAAACCAGTCGTCGGCCACTCCCAGCCCTAAACCCAACGCAATAGACATCTGGTCATCAATGCCTTTAGCGGAGATCAACGAACGACTGGCCAATAAGACAGCGCTCACCACAACCGTCGATGACATGTATTCAATGCCTGAAATGAATTGGGAGTCCAATCTTCTCAAATCGATTAACGCGTTTCCCGACGACGGCTTCATCGATGGTAATCACGACCTCATCGATGACGAAACCAATTGGTTGCCCAACACTAACGACTCCACTCTCATAACACTTCAAAATCACCAGAAGAACAGTCCGTTTATTGAATTTAATTCGACGCCTAAGACGTCCGAAAAGGACTCTGCGCTCGAATTGTCCAAATTGTTGTCAATGGTATCGCTTTTAAGCAACAAATCTAAGCATCACTTGAGTCCACCGCCTGAAGAGAATCTGTTGACTTCGCCTAAGACTCACTTTCAGCCAATAAAACACGACTCGTTTGAAAGGGACGACTCCGACGAGGGGTCCGTCGCCGACATTACCGACACTGAAGTGAAGAAACTGGTCATCTGTTCGGATAAGTGTCCCAACAATGGAGACCACAAACCGAAAGAAAGCGCCGCAAGTCTTGTGCTCCGCTGTCGACCGGTGTCCACATCACTGGACGAAATGGCCTCATATATGGGTCCGTTCAGTGACTTCGAGTTCGGTTCCAATGAATTTCTGACATCACTGCCTATAAGTGAAGAAATGGAGTTTACTATTGGCCACAAAGAGAGTCAAATGAGGTATTGATTGTTTTGTACCGATTGACTGTTTTTTGGTAATTAACTGTTTTATACATTTTTAGCGACAAATCGACAAATACTGAAAATGATCTTCAGATGGATGTGAAGGCAAAACTTGAGCCAATACTGGAGAGCAATGTCGAGGGAGAACCCGAACCCGAATACCAAGACTTATATAATATGATTAACGAAGTTCTTCGGAACGGTATTCTCGATAACGACAACTCTCTGGTGGCCAACAGTTCTGCAACAGTCACTTCGCTGGACGACTGGTATGACTCGGATTACGACAATTGCAATGATTTGGTTTCCACTCCCAGTCGGGAGAAGCGTTTGTCTTGGAATTGCTATTGGGATACGTATGACATCGCTTCCACTGGTGATCACTCGATGGCCTCTAAAAGTCACTTCAAACCTAAGGATCCGAAGCCTCGCTTGAGTGGCGAAGACATTAGTGGCGATCAAATGACCAACAGTTTTGCGTTTGGCTCTAAATTCTCTAAAAAATTGTTAACCGAAACCAATGACGACGTCTTCGCCGACGAACTCTACTCTACTAACAGTCGTTTCGCTAACTGTTCTCTCAGTGAATGTCCAGAATATGAAGAAGTGTTGGACGACTACGGGTTTCCAAGGGATGATTTCGACGCCTATCTCTCTGTCAACGGCGACAACGGATCCGATTATCACTCGAAGAAAGATATGTCCACTTTTGGCGACACGTTTAATCTGCAGCTAAAGCCCCGCTATAGTGAAGGTATGGATTTAGAAAATGTATGTTTTTGGCAAAAATGCTAATTGAATGTTATATTTGAACGATAGGTCCAAAGCGTAGTCGAAAGCCGTGCACTTTCTTCATAGAAGGCCAGTGCAAGAGAAGTGACTGCAAGTACTCGCACGACATGAGCGCCATTACATGCAAATACTGGGAGGAAGGCTTCTGTTTCAAAGCAGAGATGTGTCCATTCCTTCACTCGTACACCGAGTATGTGATCCCTCTCTCAATCAGTTGAACACAATTGTTATTTATTAGTCTAACATTTGTTTTGGCATTTGTATTGAATAGTGAGCCACAAGTGATCAAAACAAAGCCGTTTGGATGGAAATCGCGGAAATGTTATGCCATTGAATCTGAATCTGATTTCCCGTCGCTGGCGATCCTTCCCGACTCCGGAGAGAACACTCCGACGCCGTCGGAAGCGGATCAGTGCCCGCCTCGGGTCGAACACCACTTCTTTGACTTTCGCACCACATCTGTGGCGGACAACGGGAGGGGCAACTGTGGCGTCGGGCTCTCCAAAGCCAAACTACCGATTACTGTCGTTATGAAGAAAAAGGTTAAGAAACGCAAAGACAGAAATTTGCAATGAATTACAAATTGATTGATTGCTTAATACAACACTTCATCCGTTGAGTGACAGTCGAAACAATACAAAAAACATAACATAAAAAACCCATAATTTTTATCCCATTTTTATTACTCTATTATTTTTGTCACAAAAATGGGATAAATTTTGTGAACGAAAAAAAAGCGAAACTCGAAATGTTTTTTAATATGAAAACAATATTAGTATAAAAATAATTTCATTTAATATTATTATAAATAATCGTTTAATTCATTGAAAGCTTTTATCGGTTGAGAAAGTTATTTAAGGAAAAGGATTGGAAAAGTGGACCGTTTTTTATATACATTTGTTTTATTGTATGGTCTGTCCGTCCGCTCGCGTCGGCGAACGGATCGGTGTTTTCATTATTTTGAATGTCTTTTATAATTATGTTATCGAATGAATGGATAGTATTTATGAAAAGTGAAGGAAAAGTGATTTTTGAATTGTATTTATGTTTCTCCTTATGAATAGAAAGTGAATTTCGAGAAAAAATAATATTTTTATTATTTTTATTTATAAAAAAAATTAGTAAAATTTGTTAAACTATTAAATAATTAAACGAAATGAAGAGATGTTCCGAAGCGAAAACTTTTCTGTTGTTTTTTATTAATTTTATTATTTTCATTATTTTTCACTCATTTTTATCAATGGTTTTTGATTTAGTTTTTAGTTTTAATTGTTATTCAAAATTTGATTCACTTATAAAAGCATCTCTTATTATAAAAAAAAGTTGATTCAAAATATGAGTGAAAATTATCTGAAAATTACAAAAATATCTATAATTAATAAATAAATATATAAAATATTAATAATAAAAAAGTTTACAAAAAAGTACACAAAAAATTTATATTCACTTCTAGTCATATCACATCACATACTATATTGAATACATGTGTTTGTGTTTCGCATATATTATATATCTATTTCAAAGCCATTTATAGCATTTCGTTCATTGAAAACATTACACAACAAACAAATACACAATTCATTCATTTCTCTCCCATTAAAACACATTTTAAGATTCATTGGATTTGATTTCAAAAACATACAAAAAAAACAAACAAAAATGATATATAATTAATACAATTTTTAACTAAAACTATTCGTCACTTCAATGAACATAATTGTTTCAATGGATTTATGAAATTACATATATATTTAAATCATAAATAATAATCACATCTACTTATCGATCAAAAACCGAGTTAAGAAAACATGAAATACAATGTTTTTCCCATAAGAAATGGTTTTATTTTAGTCGCGAAAACATGAATATATTTTTAATGATGAAAATTACAACAAAAAAACATACATATTATGAATGCAATCAAAAAAATTGATTAAGTAATTAGTTTATCAATAGAAGAATCATGTTTTGAAAGTTAGTTTAATTTTAGATTAATTATAGTTTAATTTAGTTTATATTTTCTTCTCTATGAGTTTAGTGCTAATTACGTGACAAAACATAAATTACAATTTCATAAGTGTTTTAACAATTGCACTGAAATATACAAAAAAAATATAAATATATAAAATTAATATACAATATATGTTATATTATATATTAATCTAATAATAATAATAATATATTTTTAAAGATTACAGTATAATCTTTATGCGGATGAGTTACAGCTGTAATGTATTACATATTTGATAATACAATATAAAAGTAGACAATATAAACAACAAGATTAAATTACAGCCAAAAAAATCTATGATTTTATTTTAAGTCTCATTTATGAAACTCAAGGAAGAAAAACGTCTATTATTTCTGATTTGCCGAAATAGAGGAAAACTGTTTTTTACTGAATATTAAAGTTATGATAAGATTATTATTGATATTAAGATTCTGTTTAAGAATATTAATAACAATATAATGACAACAAAATTAATCTGTGATTCAAATGAGAAAATAAAATAGTTTTGAATGAGAAATGTTTGGAAAAACTGAAGAATTGGTTTTTGTATTGAGATATTGAGGGAAAAGATGAAAATATCAGCGGTTTATGGGATGAGAAAGTGGTATAAAAACAGTAGAATTAGTGGTAATAATTTGGTTCACATAAAATCAATTATATATTGTTTTTTGTTTGTTTTTCTCACTTATATTTTGGGACCTCTTTTATACCCAAAATTATCCTAATATTGAAGTAAACATTATTATAATGAGGAGAATATTGTTTATATTATAAGACACAACAAAAACACAAAACAAACTTTTATTTTATGCAACCGAAAGACGAGACACAATGAAAAGGTTGAAAACGTCTTCAAACGATTGGATTTGATTTCATATGATTTCATAAATTGTTGTGAAAAGCATTGGAAGAATTGTATTCAATATATTATATGATAAATGAATTATTGTTTACTTGAGAGTCAATGACTTAAACATATAACACAAAAATTAAAACAATTCAATATAACACACCATTTATGATAACAATCCTTAAATACAATACTGTTTGGAAATATTGTAATGAAATACACGAAAACATTTTGTTTTTGATAATTAAGAGTAAAATTGTTAACAACTAATAAATAAATCTAATAATAATTAAAAATAAAATTAAATGCTTAAACAGACAAATACTTTGACACAAATGGTATTTATAATGTGTTGAATAATCTGTTTATTGTTTGTAATTATGATTACGTAAAAGAAGAATCAGTTTATATGAAAAAAATTACTGTAATGAAAAGTAAAAACAACCTAAAGATTAAATAAATCTACAAAAAGTAAATAAAAAAATTTTGACAACAAATTCTTGTGACTTTATTTCAACTTTAACAAGTTGTAACTTTTATTAATAAAAATTATATAAAAATATACAATTGATTGAAATTATCACATGATTTAAGTGGTTATTAAATACCTTATAAATGGATTACGTAATCAACGCATCGGTACTTATAATTAAATGATAACGTTTGAAGAAAATTGAGATATAAGTTGTTTTACTCACTGTTTTTCTCCGTATTTGTTAAATTAGAGTTTTGTTTTGGAGTCTGAATACTACTTCAGAGAATAGTCAGAGAATAGACTAAACATTTGATATACCATTTGATATACAAATTTATATTTCCAAACTTAAACATTAAAATATTAAATTTCCAAAACTAAATGAACGGATGTATTGTTTGCTCAGTTGGCTATTCTGCGCAACAAAACAATTCCCTTTCATTCAGTCTCTCCTCTTATTCTCTCTCATATAAAACACAATAATAATGTGAATATTGTTGTTATATAATAAGTAGTGTTTTATTTAGATTACAAAGTAATGTGACTGTCGTTGGGGTTGAGCGCCGTTAGTGACTATCAGTTTCGCACTTCAATTAAGAAAAACGATATTTTATTTGTTCACTCGTTGTTCGGGAAGTTTTTTCTCGTGTTTTTAGTCGTCAATAATCGCTCGTCAATAAAGTCTTGACATTTATATCGCATATTCTGTGACATATCTGTGCAATAAGTTT